GAAGCCAAGATGGAAGGATTTGGGCGTGNGCCACAAACCTTTGTTATCATTTCTTTCTATTCTATTCTTAGTTAGCCTTCTGATGAAACCTTTTCTTCTATTCTTTTAATATAATTTTAATGTAATATATATCATAAACCAATAATCAGCCTTCTGAAACATGGAGTCAGATCCTCATCTCTTCTCTCATTTAAGAACCCCTGTGAACACCGTCACACATCCCCACCACGATGTCTTTACCACAGCCCAGCTTGGGTTTCACCTTTTGAAGTTTAGAATAGGAGCAGAGAGGTCTGGGGAGGGGGAAGGGAGCTGGTGCACCTCCAGAGAGTTCAGGGCAGACAAGCAGTGATAGAAAACCTGAGAGCAGCCCCCTGTGTGAGGCAGGCATTGAAACCCCTGAGCTGCCGATGATGCTTTTCCCCTGGAGGATTCTGAGGTAACCCAAACTGCTTTCACAGGGAAACTGCAGATGCTGGAGAGGGGCAGCAGGGGCAGGGTGTTGTGGCCATAAATCTTTGGAAATTCTCATTATGTGCAGGTATTATGGGAGGGGAGTGAGGTCGGTTAAATTTGTGTTGCTGGGGTTGGGTACTGGTGTTAGCGTTCAGGAACACATAATCACAATAATGATCATATGCAGGTGCTTTTATTGAAGAGCTCTGGGTGTCAGGGGTACAGACCCAAATCTGACTCCAACATGGCTTTGGGATGAACATGTTTTTATATTCTATCATTATATAACTTTCATGTTAATTATTAAACTTATATTGTTCTATTGTATACATAGATTTCATCCAAGCATGGGCTCCTCGTAGTCCTCCTCAAACTTCTAACATAGTTTCTCATGATTCTTCTTACGATTAAACAATAATTATATTTAATTACTAAACAATCATAACATTGAACAATTATATCATTTATCATATACTGCTTATGCAGGTGCAATTTCACATGATCTGGCAAACACAAAGCCTAACATTTTCAGAGCCTATTTTTAACATTTTTCCAGGGCCCCACTAAGTCTAGCTTCTTCCTAATTCCCCAAATTTTATGATTTGAAAACCTTTTACTATCACTGGGGGCCATCCCAGGGATTGTGACAGTGGCTGGGGTTTCTGCCTTTCTCCTGCGTAACCCACCTCCTGAGAAATTCACTTTTCCATGGTTTGGGGTTAAACATGTTCAGCTGCACACCCACCTGAGCCCTGTGAGCAGGATGGTGCTCACAGTGAGGGTATAAATAGAGCTGCTCGAGGAAGTGAATTATTCCTGGCATTTCTTCCGTCGAATAACGGGATTCTGCAGCAGGAAATCTTTCAGCAGAAGGAATTGCTGGTCCCCTTCATGCATGGCAATGCCATCCTTCTTGCTTCCTGGAAGTGAGGAGCCTCGTTCTGTGCTCCACCATCTGTTGCAGGGTTTGAAGATCCCTGCTCAGACTCCCCCAGGCTGCTGGGTTTGTCTCTGGTGGGAAATAGAGGGGGAAATTCTCCTTCCTGCTGCCCCAGGGGAGCTTTGGAAGCCTCCTGGGGTTGTTTTCCCCATGGCCAAGTGTCACATAAGGAAATCCCTCTGGGGTGATTCCAGGCATCTGGGGGCGTTTCTTGCACCAAACTCCTGCAGTTTCAGTGGGATCCTGCTCTACCCCTTGTCTGCAGCTCCTGAGCACAGCTGCGAGCTGGGATGTTAACAGCTGGATCATTTCCATCCACAGCCACCCTCCTCACATCATCCCCTGGGGAGAGATGTTCAGGTTCACGTGCAGCATCACCATGGGAAGCTGGCTCTTTATCAATTTAATTATTTATTTCTCTCTCCAGCGGGGTCTTTTTTTCATTAAAAATTGCAAAAAGCCAGGCTGTTCTGCCATTGCCTGTTGGAAGAGGGCTCCCTCCCATAAACCAAGCTGTCTGGGGAAGCCTTTTATGGAAAAACACCAGATCAATAATTGTGCCTTCTGTGTTTTGCCATGTGTGGCTCTGTGTGTTCGTATCTGCAGCTTTCAACTCTCAGTGTTGCATTTTGTCATTACCATTTCACTTCTGCCTTCATCATCTTATCTGGTAACACAGAGCATCTTTTGTCGTTATTTAAACACTTGAGCACAGACTGAGCTGGACTGTTTGGGAAGCCTGATTACAGAGAGAAATCCCATGAATTGGCTCTGTAGAACAAGTGAGGAAACATCTGGATTTCCCACCTGTGTCCTGACTCCTCCAGCTCAGAGTTAGTGAGTGAAAGGCTGGAGATGTGATGCCCAGGAGAGATGCTGTGCCAAGGAGGTGCCTTGTTGTATTTGCAGGGATGCCCTGATGAAGGAATGAATTATGAATCTGACTC